AGGTTGGCCAAATTTATGTTGCTCGGCCCAAATTACAATCTTAATTTTGCCCGTAGTGGTATTGTTACACTGCATTAAAAATGTCCTATCTGCTATCTACTATAGTCTCGTAAATCTAACTAAATGTTTTTGCTTTGAACTTTTTTTATCAATGATTTGTAGAATTCGTTATTACTCAACGCTAACGCTAGTGTTTGTTAAAACGTTATCCAATCAAATTTTATATTATATCCATCTCTATTAGTTTCTAATATTTAATATAGTATTAGATAACGATAAGTCGTTATTGAGAACATTTGTTACCAAAATCTATAATTTATTAACCATTAAATAAATAAATTTAATAATAACTGACTAAAAAAAGATGAAAAAAAAAAATCTAAGTTCTTTGCAACGAGATTCATTTAAAATATAGGCTTTTATACATCCTAATTAGAAAGTATGCTATGTAACCTTTGTACGTAGAATTATTTGTGATTTATAATGCCATAAATAATTTTTAGTGTGCAAATTTGTTTGCCTCGATGTTCAAGTCTTATTATATATGTATTGTAGCGGTAGTACTTCAAGAAAAAAAAAATAATAATAAGGTTTTGGTTGCTGTATGTTTGAGATGCTGAGCCACAAATAATTATGACACGAGATATTTTTTCCTCATATATTAAAAAAGTAAAATTATATAATTTTCGTTAAATTATTCATGTAATTTGAACATTTTTGACTTGAAAATTAGAGCTCAATTACCACGATTGAAAAGTGGAAGAGGTTCTGATCAATCAAGAATTTTCAAGCTTCGTCTAAATTTGACTCGTGAATTGACGATTAGATAACGACTCTGCCAGGCGTGGTTCCTGGCTTTGGTCAAAAGGCTTATAGAATGAAGAAAGGCTTTGCTCGTGTCGCGCGGGAATGCTTTTGATCGATCGATATATCTTAAATTTTCCGGTTTTTTTTCGAACCATTTCACTTATTCTAGGCAGGTTTTAGTAAGTTATATCATACCCGTTATTCTTTAAACATCACATCAGATATCAGTTGGTGGCTTTGCTGTAAAATAAACATGTGGCAAGGGCTTCCCTAGTTGTCAAACTCGTGTAACATAGTTTATTTTTTGAACTTTAAAATAGTTACGATATATTTTCTTTCATTTAATATAATACATTTTGTTACTTAGGCTCTGCCCGAAAGTTTGTTTCTGTTTGCGGTATTGCTAACATGGAACCGGCAGACGAGCCACCGAGCGAATCTTTTCATACAATTCCAATTTATCAATTTGACGCGTCTTCCGACAGCGATTCTGACGACCCAGGACGTATTGTTCCTCCCATAGGACCTGTGCTTGAAACACCACCTACTCAACC